TATGGAAAGCTGTCCAGACGAAGCAAGAAAGAACTTCTTATTCTGATTGAAAATAATATTCCCGAATGCTGAAGGTTCAAGAATATATATATATATATATAATCAAGAACCCCATTAACCTGAACCTTGTGGAGTCCGGTCACCATATATAAATAAAGATAGGGCTTATAAACACCCGGAGATTTAAAAATACAAGCGTATTTTAATGGAGGCATCAACGATTAGACAAAATAAACTTTTTCTATAATGGATATATTCCAAATTAAAATATTCTGATCAAAATTACTGCTAATCAATTGTTCAGATAAAAGAAATAATTTGGGATAGGTAAAGCATGTTTGTTCGTTAGATAGTATGTGCTTTAAACGAACCACAGGAAGAAGTGGACTGACCTCGTGTAAGCAACTTGGTCATATAGTCAGTGCGAGCGATCTTATCTGAAGTCCTCTGTTATAATAGTTATCATAATTCCCATCTTCAGACCGTGGACTTGGTAAATTCCCAGGCTTTTCACCGGCAACATAGTCTCTCCCTACCACAACTGCCTTGTTTGTATTCATCCTCCAGATATGTGTCCTTTTTTGGTGAGTTTAGCGTGGCCTCATCACACCTATCGTCTGCCTTGCCCCCCTCTTGATTTGCTTTTCACACTCGGATCTCTTTCATGGACCGTTTCTCATCTTCCCTGCTGACCGATTTCACTTGGTTCCAGCCCCAGCTTACGTTTTACCCCAAGTTATTTTTTCTGTCGCCTTTCAATTGATTTCATGTTCAGTCTGTGCGATGTGTTCCACTATTTCTGATCTTTCGGTATCCATTTTCCTGCGGAGCCTTTTGATGTTTTTTATTCGTATGCGAATTTTTCTGTTTCGCCAATATATTTCTGTTTCCAGACTCCGCATATTATGCAGTAAGCTTCTGAATAATCCTATTTGTCCACCCTTTTCATCTTGTTTGGCTAGACTTGTGAAGTGTTGTTTTTTCCTTCATGGTCACCCGAAAATTCCATTTCCTTAATTATTGGCTGTAGTTTATGAGCTAGTTCACAGAAAGGGAGGCATATCCACTATTATGATTCTTTATCCATCTTTACCTTTCTTTCATAATTCCCGTCCCGTCATCGGCTTTTCACTCTTGGGTATCCGCTGCTGAGGGATATCCGAATCACCGTTTCCAATTGTTCATTCCATAATTTCATGTCCGTTAATCGTAGGCTTCTGATGATCATGCTCCTCAGTATTCCTATCCTCATTCTCTAGTTGTGATGAGATCTGCCGAACCGAAAGGAGGCACAGAAGCGCATCCCCAAACCTAGTTACTTTCCCGATTTTCTCTACGTGTATTTCCACTACTTTTTTAAATGACATTTTTACCTTTGGCATTAAACATGTATACGATCGTTAAATTTTAGGATATGGGCCACAATCCGATCGCCTCGGTGCAATGAAAGCCGCTTTTTCAGCACAATACAACCGCCACTTTGTCTCAGCCGGCGTTGAAAAAACCAAATACCTCCATCCCGAGTTGGTCGGCGCTGCAAGGTCAGCATCTCAAGCTGCTGGCTCCGTTCTACAAAGCATTTCGGGATCCACTTCTAACGGACGGGATCAGAAAGATGGGATAGACAGTGTTGATAATATTTCAGAATCAGGATCGACAGATATGCTAGGTACTTTCGTCGCACCAATACCACCTGCCATACCGGCCAACTCTGCACCTACTTTAAACAACACTTACCCTTCTCAATCTCATTCATCTTCCTCATCAACAGAAGCCAAAAGGAAGCGGTCACGTTGGGACTAGTCTACACAATCCCAAGCCGATCACTTTATCTACGGGATGTTGTCTTCGTTAGTGTTTGAGTGTAATGTGCTCATATGCTGAACAAGGCAAAACTGCTCAGCATTCCGAAGACATAATTCTCTAACCACTGTCGTATCTTTATTTATATATAGACATGCACATACCTATTACTCTCGCAAATACCCGCGTTTTTTAATTCATAGGAATTTAACTATAATCTTGATACTTTTGCCCGCAATATCTAAGCACACTGTTTTTATCGATGCGCAAAAGATCTGCCTTTTCGGGGCCTTGATGTGTGATTTCATGAAGGTTATTCTTGTCTATGAAGAAGCTTGTTTTCTCATAAAAAGTGAGGTTTCGATGAATATCAATGAGTAAAAGGGGATTGCACTGCTAAAATGCATTTAGCTCTTTTTAATTTCCAAAAAAGCAACCCAAAGGAGAAAACTTATGCTGGAATAGCTTTTATTTGATTTAAAGAAACGGACGGAAGGGATTCGTAAGTTGGTCTCATCGAAAGCTGTGTGGGATTGCCTTGGAGTTGTGATTTTAGATTTGCGCGAATAAGTCTCCGGCGAACCGCCCTTCGACACCGGTCAATCCCTGCTGAACTTTCGTCCGTCATGTGACGGACATCGGCAAAGCAGAGCACTGTTTTACGTATATTCAGAAGAAAGGTGATAAGAATTTGTATCATACGTACTTAGTATATGTGTAGAAAAGTTGAGTTTAGAAGAATCCATTGTTTCATGATTGTTGAGAATACATCCAATTCGAGTAAAGGTGTTTGGTGAAGAGATTCGAAGGTCGATCCCATCAGAATACGATGGTGGATTCCACTTGACCAGCTGTCGATTGGCTCTATTGGAGAATTCTTATTGAAGCTGTTTCTGAAACAATCTCTTTCGATTTCGGTGAAAACGTGCTGAGCTTTCGTCCTTAGTATGATGGTCATCATCAGAGCAGGACATCATCAAGCTGAGGGCTCATCCATAACTTTTATATAAACTCTATATCTGAGCTCTCGCATGAAGGCAAACAGCTCGTCAACATAACCCGAGCGTTAAAATATACACAGGGGGTGATGGTAACGATCAAACCTTGATGGCCGAGAACAGACATTACTTTTCCTGTTCACATTACCTTCTGGTTTCTTTTCGCTTGGCCGGATTTTGTCAGGAATTTTACAAAGCGTGGCTGATATTTAGACGTTGACCTAGTCTATACTTGACTTTTGGTGCATGTTAGCTCGCCACCTCTACTTTATTTGTATTATCTGTACCTTTTTATAATTCGCCTCGTATCTCCATCTTTAAGAGATTCACTTTCAAGCCAGCGCTATATAGCTAAATGATAATGATTCCAAAACAGAAGTCACACTATCTTGGTGTTCTTATGTACGATGAGATCGGCTTGATATAGGCGTAATGAAGATTGTGTTCACCCTGCGTCTAAATAAAAGAAATCTACGATCGTGTCGTTAAGACAATCCAATGATAATATCAAGCCCAACTTAGTTTATAGGCAGAAGCAGGTAAGCCTGCAACTATTTGAGTTCTGAACATGAAACTTTATTAGAATTAGGCTAAATTTTTACTATGGAGATCAGCATTAATTATTTTTGCCAAATGATTTCCTTTACAACGATACTCTCAAAAGGCATTCGCTTAGCTATCAATAAAATGGTCAATTCGTGCACAATTCTTCCAGCCCAGTTTTCCATGGGTTCTCTAGTAAGAATATGAGAGAAGCAATTGTACTAGTGACATCATATTCAATGCATGATGATTGCCGAGTATGAAAAAAGACTTGATGAGAAAAGTGAAAATTTGTGACGGGTAAAAGCACCTCATATTTTAACCGTTATTATTTTGAGAAAAAAGATAAAAACATCCAGAGGAAATAAATGGTGAGTTAGACATTCATATAAAAATATAGTCCATATGGACTTTGAAATGTGACGTCTGTAAAAGGAAGTGAAAATATTCAAAAATAGGCAAAACAAGATACGATCAAAGAAGTAATTTACTGCGCTTGGACGGTAGACCGAGAAGAAATCTTCTCCAGAAGGGACTCAGTAGGCAAATAAAGAAGAGGCGGAAACTCTTTCTTGTTAAGATGAAGTATTGTAGTAGCAATTTCACCACGATTTCTACATAAGAAACAGTTGCGACAGGGTTTTTTATATTATGAAAACATTTTAAATAAAAGAGTATAGAAGTCAGCTTGTTGTCAGGGTGACTTGGCTGAGCTCACCTTGTTCTTTCTAGTTGATCATTTTATTCAGTCACAGTGTAATTTTTACTCAATGCAATGCTTATCAAGCCCTTAGAAACACGTACATTACAGGTCTCACCGAGCAGAGCGCCAAGGCTCTGATTCCCATGTTTGCATACATTATACATTTCCTTTACGCATCGTCTCACTTATTAAACCCCTGTTACCTGAGCAAACAGTGGACGCCTATCCCTGATCGACTGCGGCATCTCAATTGGATTTCTAGTACCCTAGTGTTAACGTGAGACTTTTACAGGAATGACACTCAGCTCTGGTTATGTCTATCATATGATGGACTAAAGCTCAGCTCGTTTTCACCCGAAACGAGGGACAAGGTCTCGTGGACTGCGTCAACCTGAACGTTATATAAAAGCCAAACGGCTGCAATACAACGGGATTCATCCGTCCTCTTCTGGTGAGATCGACCTACGAATCTCTTTTTCATGCACTTTAATACGAAATGAAAGTCCCCCCAACAATAAAAACATGGCACTGGAAGAAACTTACTTACTGGTAAGTTTTGTTGTAGAATCTATGTGTACTAGCATCTTGGAGAAAATGCTGCAGGCAACCAGGGATATGCGTCCACAGTTTTCTCAGGTAACACTGGTTTAATCAGAGAGACGACTCGCGAAGACAATGCCTAATATCTACAAGCATAGGAATCATAACATAGGCACTCTGCTCGGTGAGGCGGCAGGGGCTTGATAAACAGCGCCTGGAGTAAAAAGTACACTTGGACTGGAACCGAGTAAAATGATCATCCAGAAAGATATGAAACGGATCTACGGGACCATGAGGGAGATCCGAATGAGTCCCGAGTCGGATTAGCAAATCAAAGGAGAGGGGGCCAAGCTAAATAGCAAGCGTGATGAGGACACACTAGACTTGCCAAAAAGCGCACAATTTTTGACGAGTGGAATGTAGACAAGTCAGAAGTTGTGATAAGGTTGGAGTGGGATAAGGGGGTAAGGAGTAGATAGATGGGCCAGGACAGAAGGGGGTAATAACGCAACCGTTTTTGAGAGAAAATTGATCAGGGGATTGACTTCACTTGTCTCTGAATCGTCGCACCTTGGTGCTGAGAGTGGCATGACTGATGATGCCGGCGAAATGTCAGAATATACCAAGTCCATGGTCTGATGCTGGGTATTATGATAACTACTATGGCAGAAGACTACGAATCAGGTGTGTTCAGCCAAGTCATCCTGACTACGTCAATTTGCAAAAACGAGGTCAACTCGCTTGTATAAATCGAAATAGATCGCGACCATACTGAGGGCCAAACTTTTTTATCTTTATATCTTCACCAAAAATTATACTTTGTAGCATCTGATTTCTGATTCATATGAATGAGTAAATAGTGAAATTTCAATGTAAAATATGTAGGAATTGTAAGCTTATGGAATTCTTATATGAGATCTATTTGCCGTATTTCGTAATCAATAGAATAAAACTCTTCCTATTGTACTCACTTATAAGAAAAAATGCGAGAGCTCTATTTGAGGGTTTGATGAGGGTCAAGTGGTAGGAGGAAACATAATTTAACAGCAACACAGTTTTATGAAACATTGGTACTGGGGTTCAACTTACAGCCATAAATGAATAACTATCATAGATAAGATAATGAGCCCGAACGAAAATTGAATTCATCCATGCTAGGTACGAGGGATAAAATTAGTAAGGCGGAACGGGTGCCTTAAAGATGGAATTACCAATTTTATATTATATTCCTGATACATTTTATTCATGAATGTCACGATTTAAGATATAGCTACAAGATAAATAATTTTGACCATGAACATAACATGGTAGAATAATCACAGATTATAGTGGGAAAATATTGTAACGCTCATTAGGCTGACGATGCATGAAAGAACTATATGGGCTTTCACAAGTATTGTTTATCATAGATGCCCTCAGTAAGCATAAGTATTAATTTTGTCAAAAAATTTAGTACGAAAATATGGCTCGTGCTAATCGATTATATGTGTATATATACATACTTGAAAGTTTAAATACTCACTTTTCAATTGTTCGAATGATATATGACTCTAGCTTCAATTTATTGTGGAGCTTGCCCCTACAGCTCTTCACAGTAAATTCCTTAAGATAGAGACAAAAAATAAAAACATTAATTAATGCATAAAAAGGAAAAACGATTGTTATGAATATAGATATCTGATCTAATAAAGCTCCAGAGTTAAAGCTTGTTCTAGCCAGAAAAGGACTCGAAAAGACTAGTCACTTGGTTACTAGAAGAATGCTAAATAACATCATTGCGCAATCCTTACAGGTAGTAAGAGTTTTCACCTTAAATCTTAGAAATTTAGCAGTTATTTTTAAACTAAGGTATTAAAACGAAGATGGTATGGCCTTTAGTACGGTCGTGGTCTCCTTTCGTTGTATAATACTTGTTTGACCTTGTTTTTACAACTTAATCATACTGACAGGAAGATCTAGAAGAAGGAACCTTGTCCGGAGTATGCATTATAATTTCCTGTCGGAGCATGGACTTGGCACATTCTCAGACGTTTCGCCGGCAGCTTCAATGGGCCTTGCCAGTCTTAGCACCACACTACAAGTAGCCAAGACGACAAATAGATTAGTTGACCAATTGTCGGCTAAACAATTTCGTATGTCTCTTGTATTCTGGTATTTTCCTATCCTATACCCTCATATCACCCCTTCACTATTACACTTTCTTGCTTGCCTATTTA